CAATGACCTCGACCCCGTGCCGAGGAAATGGGTGAGTTGAGTGTTACGCCGCTTTTAGCAATGTTCCAGCAATATCCGAAATGGGCTTCACACATTGTACCCATGTGGAAAGTCGAACCCGAGTCTTCGGCGTGACGAGTGAACGCTTTAACCACTAGGCTACCCCACCGCCGGGCGCCGCGGAAGATGAGGCTGAGGATGCATCAGCATCAACATACTATCAACCACTGGTAATCGACTAAAGCAGGTCGAATGACCTTGACATACGTAGCTGTCATGTAGTGCAGTGTGAAACAGCTTTTGGAAGAATGACGACTATGTTTGACAGTAAATTGACACATACACGACGGAGCATCCGGTAGTTAAATTCCTAGGGTTATGGGCGATAGGTAGCCATTGGGTTTACAGCGTTGTCTCCCCGGGAGGTTTTAAATCTAAATGACCATGACCTATATAACAAACTTCTATGGAAAAATCTAAGCAATGTTATCACTGGACAAACACGAGTTTCTCTTTATGGTTAGCTTTGTCATATCATTGTATCAGGAGATTGTAGCCGTACACATACAAGCATTCTCCATTTGAAAGTGGGGTGAGTAAAGACGGGTACTTCATGTAAATATGGTCACGATATGGCTGAAACATTGCCGATGTGACGTAAAATTCACTCACTCACTATGTAATTATGTCCATTTACGCAAATCCTTTATAGGACAAAATAACTACAAATAGGGCATTTATACCACATAAAATGCAATCATTATATGTACTACGTGTATTTAGGAAAGACGTATTCATGCATTTTGATAATACTGATTATATTATTATATATCAGTGCTTAAGGAATACAGAGATCGCCGTATTCCTCCAGTGTTATGTAAAGCTGCCACTATACATCATGATATATAGGTCCTACTCAACGGTGATTTAAAGAGAGAATTACGTATAAAAGAGATTCACTCCAAGGCGTCAGATTTGTTTCATTATCCAAAATATAAACATCAGCATAAATGTAATAAATATCAAAGACAAAGGAAATACTTTATTCTAATTTAGATTGATTTCTATCTTCACAATCAAACAAAAAACTCTTAATATTAGAAACAATTAAAGCTTCTCCTGAATAAAAATGGGTTGAATGTGCCGTGGTCTTCTTTGATCATATAAATTCATTGAGTACACTACAGTTTGTAGAAACCTTCAGAAAACTGAAGCTTTAAAATGCGTTTTATCTGTTTCTAGAGTTGATAGTCGTTGAAAATAAAAATATACTCATTTAATGTAATAATCATCATCCTTACCAGATAAAATTATCCTAAGTTTTTTTTTATAATAATCTGCGTTTGAATGTTTTTATCTAAGTTGTAATGCCACTGTTATATTTTTTACTAATTGTAATTCTAATTGTACCTATATAAATTTAAAATGGAAAGAGTCCACTTTGCATCAGATAATTACTGGTCTATTCGTTTTGCTATCAGTGTTAGAAGCAAAAATTTATCAAACTAGTAACAACCAGGTGTTACTTCAGACCACTATATAATTCAATTGTAATATTCGTAGAAAGCAGGAGGGGCGGTGGGGTAGCCTAGTGGTTAAAGCGTTGGCTCGTCACGCCGAAGACCCGGGTTCGATTCCCCACATGGGCACAATGTGTGAAGCCCATTTCTGGTGTCCCCCGCCGTGATATTGCTGGAATATTGCTAAAAGCGGCGTAAAACTAAACTCATTCAGTCAGTAGAAAGCAGGAGATAACCTTATGCCGACTACAAGCTCAATGTGACCGAGTTCTGTATTTAAATCCTGTAAGTGTCCTCCAAAGGATATAACTTATTCGTGTTAATGTTTGTCTCCCATTGTTTGTTGTAAATAGTAACGTGACAGTCTGATATATTGATCATTCTGCACTTCTAAATAAGTATACCCCCTGAATTCCATTTTTTCCAATCCTAAAATGTATTGATCGAACCTCCTCACGTGGAACACCAAAGCTTGAATATTCATTGCTTGGGTACGATTATTTAATATTACTGAAAGCAACGTTACAAACCACGTATCCCCTCACTCAAGTAATAGTTCTTTAATAGGGCAGTAACCGTAACAGTGACCGTAATATTTGATCCTTCCCACAAAGTAGTGATTGATATTGGGAGCAATGTCCCTCGGTGTTTGGTGTATGGCCATGTAACCAAGCCTGTTGTAGATTATCCCTGCTATAACCTACGATACATGTAGCCTCTTTATAAATATATATATATATATACCTGGGTCCGCATTCTATATTCTATATTTTTACCCAGGGTTTAATGTGAAAACGTTTTGTAAAGCCAGTATTATTTTAAAGATACCCATGGCTATCCCAGAATGCAATAGTGCGTAATATAAGAGAATTAGGTAAACTCTCCCCCTCATGAATCAACGCATTCACGGGGCATTTTTCTATAGTCTGTTTGCAGTGAAAACGTACCGATGAATTTCACTTTAAACAAAAAAGTAAATCAAATAAAGTGAAATTAAGATTGCGAATGCTCATAATTTTACCTTGCCAATTAAACATTTAAATTTCAGAATTTTATTCAACTTAGGATAAAAGTTGTTTAACAGACCATCATAGATTCAAATCGCTATTATTGGTTTGTATTACTATAGTTCAGGTGAATATACACATACGTGGTTACTTTGACACTATGTGGGAAGATCACTCTATGTCATATTGGGTAGACAAAACTAGCATACGTGATAAGAATATTGGCGCCACTACGCCCTATATAATATGTGAAATCTGGCATGATTAACAGGTGCGCGTTAAGGGGAAGGGGAAGTTGTTAACGTTGCGTATGACCGACATAGTTCTTTTTAAATTATTACCAACATTATGAAACAATGTAGAGGACGTGTCTTAATGTTACCTTTATGATTCAGTAATACAAAGTCTCTGTTCGTCCTACACAGTGAGTGAGTGAGTTGGGTTTTACGCCGCTTTTAGCAATATTCCAGTAATATCACAGCGGGGGACACCATGTGCAGAATTGGGCTTCACACATTGTACCAATGCGGGGAATCGAACTGACCCGGGCCTTCGGCGTGACGAGAGAAGGCTTTAACCACTAGCTACCCCACCGCCCCTCGTAAAACACAGGATCGGTGGGGTAGCGTAGCCGTTAAAGCGTTTGCTCGTCACACCAAAGACCCGAGTTCGATTCCCCCATGGGTATATTGTGTGAAGCCCATTTCTGGTGTCCCCCGTCTTGATATTGCGGAAATATAACTACAACCTTACTCGTCGTGCAAAACGACTTCAGAATATTACATTTAAAGTAATGAAAATAAGTAAACATTGATCACCATAGCTAGTGATGAGGTACGTCCTTTCGAAAGCGGGGTAAACGATTCCCATTGAGGTGTAATGTTTTAGTGTAATGTTTTATGTTGCGCATAGATTTTTGGAAATATAATGCACATGCAAAGAATGCGGTATCAGTTTTCATCCCCGCATGGGAAAGAATGATCACTTCCATGTAAGGGCAGACAGAAAGAAAGACAGGCACAGATTCGATCTCATGATCTACAAAATGCACATAATAAAGATAATATATTGACTGAGATCGCAAAATCGATTTTAAGATACTGATAATGTTATTTCTTATGCATTTGTGACTTCTTGAAAAGTATTATATAATATTAAAAAATAGATTTTTTTTTATTTATTTAATTCGTTGTTTCTTAACATAATTTATTAATTAACTAATTTGTGATATTCTTTTTTCAAGGTATAACTGTTGTTCTTTAAGAGGTGAGGTGAGGTGAAATTATGGGTTTAACGTCGTACTTGAGAATACTTCGCTCATATGTTGACGTGCATGCGTGTGTATGTGTATGTGCGGCTGCTGTTGTACTAGCCCAGACCGAAGCTGTTTTATAGTGCTATATACTAGCCCACTGAGATACCATTTCGCAGTGAAGCATGAATATCCCACTCAGACACGTTATTCTGACTCCGAGCCGACCAGTCCTTGTTGCACCCATTAATGCCGAGCGCCAGGCAGGGACCAACAAGTACCATATTCTAACGTCTTTTGGTATGACGCGGTCGGGGATCGAACCCGCGACCTTCCGCTCTCCGGGCGGACGCTCTAACCACTACACCACGGAGGCGGTCTGTTCTTTAAGAATGTGGTGAGCTGAAGACATGAGCAGAAAGCTATTTTCTGCTTGATATCTGTAGCACTAAGTATTTATAAGTCATGCACAGTCAGAGAAAGAATCAACAGATAAAATGCATGGTAGACGTGAAAATGTGTTCTAAATTAGATTTACTGCTGGACGAACCTTTTAACTATATGCTTAATTCTCTGTATGCAAGCCGATTGTGATGAGGATTGTTTGGTTACTATTTTGTGATGAGCAGATCACCTGTGGTCTGCATGGTTCGTCGCTCATGCTGTCAATCACAGGCAAATTGTAACCATAAATTCCATCGCTGCATCATTGAAAAAGGCAAAGAAATTGTATACCACAGCAGCTAAACATCGAGGGCATTGATATATACATTCAAAACACTAAGAATGGAGCTTTTACAACAAATTGGGAGAAGGCCTCGGACGCGTAATAAATTACGCACTTTCTCGGTTATGCTTATAAATAGTTGTTTCGAACCCCTGAACTATCGTACGTTGTCACCCAAAATCACACATGTAATATTCGGATATGTATGAGACTCCAACGAGTCATCTCGCTAATGCGAAGAATTCTCTCAATAAAACTGAACGCTGTGGTATCCCATTTCGATATTCTTGAATATATACTCTCACATTTGTTATTCAATCACGATCACATGTTTTTTTACTGCGGACTTACTGACGGGAAGTGACGTCATATTTACTTTTGTTATTTCTACGACAACCTTTCAGCTATGTTTAAGAAGTTATTTTGCAATTGTCAGCCTCGATTATTTGCATTTGACCTATGTATTCTCTCACAAGTGATCTTGCTTTCTCCAGGTAAAACAAGAGACTGAGCTTCGGCCGTGTCGGGAATGGTTTGGAATCCCACTTGGTATGAATGTGTAGCTCTAACATCATGTCGGACGATACCCACAAGTGTCTACGTGACGATAGGAATGTATGCCAACTGTGTGGAGCTCTAGATAATTTATCGTTGTGTACAGGGTGTAGAAAGACTTGGTATTGTTGTAGGGAACACCAGAAGGCTGATTGGAGGGAACATAAACGACGATGCGCAGGTAAAAGCAAAAAGAAAGACAAAAAACCAAAACACGAGGGAGTAGTCTGTCCCTCCGACCAGTCGGCCAGTGGCAGCAGTATTACAATGCCGACTGACATTGCAGTTGGTGACCGGTCAGCAGCTCAATGGGACGTCGAAGGCAAGGGTGCCAAAACACACGCACGCAGTGTAAACAAGACTGTCGAAGAAGTACATAGTCGTGACCACAAACCTGATGAGTTGTGTTGCGCGCAGGCAGACGATACGAGTCACGCATCCGTACCGGTTCCACAAGAAGGGAGTTCAGAAGCTTATATATTGCAGACAGCAGCCAGCTCTCTCAGTCAACCTTCTGGTGCTTCAGCTGACAGCGGAGACACAATGAGAGAAATCATCAACCCTCTAGATTCATCCGAGACTTATGTTACTGTTCTGAAGTCGCGCTTCAAAGAACTAGCAGAATATGTGACAAACTGTCTCACCAAGTATGGTATTTGTGTGATTGACAAATTTCTTGGTGAATCAAAAGGCTTAGACATTCTCAAAGAAGTGAAAGAGTTATACAGATCAGGTGTTTTCAAGAATGGACAAGTTGTAGACTCTGAAAATACCAGCAATACCACAAGAATCAGAGGTGATATGATAACCTGGGTGGATGGTGCTGAGGATGGATGTAAGGATATTTTGTTTTTGATATCCTGTATGGATGATATTATTCTACAGTGCTCTGGTAAACTGGAAAACTATAGGATTAGTGAGAGAACGAAGGTAAGTTAATAATGTATCAAAGTCATTATGAATTTATCATTTTTTATGGAGTTCAGTAATAACTTTAGGTGTTCATGGATGACCCTTATTCATATAAGCCCAAAATGGCATGCTTTATCATGTTTATTATGCAGAAATGCATCCTTAACAGGGTTCATAATTAAAGAGGGATCCTAGTAGAAGATGTGATGCAGTTTTGCACCCTAACCTGTTCCCTTATCTTCGGGTAAAGATGCAGTTGTGCACTTAGGTATCTATTGTACTATGTAGGACTTTGTCATCGTGAGTGTTTGCATACCTTTCATCAGTCTGTTCATACGCAACTCTACATTCCTTTATCCGTCTGTGTTTACATGCCTGAAATGTGTTGACAAGTGGTCAGATTTCAGCGTGGAAGCCAAAATATCATCAAGTATATTGTCATAAACTCTTATGTAAGTAAAAGTTATATATTTAGGGGGTACTTTGGCAGAGAAACACTGTCAATAGCTCCAGTGAGACAAAAAGAAAACTCATTAGAAATGACCCCTCTTAATTTAGAACCCTGTTAAAGTTCATATTTTTCTCAAGTGATCTCTTAAAAATTAAAGGCATGTTCTAAAACTACTTTCACTGAAAGTTTCAGCATGTTGAGTGTATGACTGAACACATAAGGGCTAGTGTGGTGGTTTTTAAGGTCTGTCATTCTGAAAAATGTTTCATATTGTGTTCCTCTGTTCCAAATATGATAATGATCTGTCTACCATGTCTACTAACCATGCATATACACATGATGTAGTGTAGACATGGCTCCCAGTTGCTGTGACTGGTCTGGCACTGATCCATCAACACATGGATGTTTGTGTCTAATAAGCCATGTCAATAAATGCATTGGACTGACATTCAAGATGTTCAAAGTGTTTCAGGTCTTAGAAAAGTTCATATTCTTTTTGTTCTAGGACATTGATCATTGTTGACTGATTATTATACTCATCATTTGCTCATGGTTGAGAATGTTCTCAAGAATTATGTCCAAATTTGTGGCCTATCAAACCTATCTAAAGGATAAAGCAAAATCACTGTTCCAAAAAGCTATAAGTATATGTCCATAACACTCAGCAACCTGTCTTTTTTGTCCTAGTAAGGTTAAATCTGATACAAGTTGGTGTCATACAGAAGACCTGGGTTTTATCCCCAACATTTGTACAAGTATGAGCCCATTTTTAGTGTCACATTGTGATAGGGTACCCTGTGCTGGTATATTACTTTTAAGTGGCATAAAACCATTGATTCAGTGTCAGCACATAATAAAAGCTCTAAATCTACTGGAAAGGATGTCAAAATATATGTATGGGTAAGTGTCATCAATAAGGTGGTTCTCAGCACCTGCTGCTTAATGTCATACCTTTCTTGACATACAATTCACACTAGTAACCACACTGGTAACATTACTAGACAAGGCAGTCATTTCCATCCAGAGAATTCTAAAGAACATGTATTCTAATTCCTATGTTTTACATAATTCTTTCAAGATTCTACACACAATTGGCATGATAGGGACATCTTGTTCTCTCCAAAATACAATCTGATCAATACAAAGACATTACTGCTAGGTGTTTTATGTATGATGGTTTATGAGTTTGTACTTCTTTGACAAGAAGTAACAGTGTTGGTTATCATGTAGCCTTGTCCCAAGCCTGTGCTAAATGATAAGTCCATTAATGTATGGTCATTCTGTCCTTGTAATAGGCAAGTCTAGATAAGCTGACCACCAAGGATGCCAGTCTTTTATAAGCACAACTATTTAATATTTTTATAATTTATGATTTAAGCTGACAATCATATCCCTTGAGACTTGTATAAGTCTAATTACTAATAAATTAGACAAGCTTTAGACATAGGGTGCACTTTGATACAGGAAACTTTATATCCTAAGTTGCTGTATCGATGAGAAAATAGCAATCAATAATCATGTTAGTTTTGAGATCAATTGTTTTATTAAATATTGGCTCAATCACTCTGCATTTTACACGTAATGGATACAACTTTGAAAAACGGCCTCTATTCTCATGGCTGTGAGGTACCTGAGATATCATTTGGGGATTTATGACTTGATTACCATCATAAACGTAGGATATTACAGCTTACAGAATAGGGCTACAACTGATGTCATTGATCATGTTGAATCTCGACCCTGTCCATGGGAAGCTAGCTCTCAACTTTAGAGTGATTCAATAATGCACTCACTCACTCCTAAAAAATATATCCATAATTGCTATTGACGACAAATCCAGTTTGTGACACTTTGACTGTTCAGGAGCAGCATTACAGGGTGATTACAAAGTAAATGTGGTTTGAGTACCATCCCACTGCACAATGCATATCTGCAGCATTCCTTTGTCCAGTATGATATTTTGCAAATATGCTTGCCTGAAGAATTTTGGCATGTACAGCATATCTCAAGCCGCTGTTGTCGTAAATTCTACGCACATTGTCATATTTATAGCAGCTAGTGTGGCGCATCCTTGAGTATGTTTGTGAGAAGCAGCCTAGTTTTGACGAAACTACGTCATTCAGTTGCCAGCTGACGATCACATGGGGATTTTTGCAACATTTTTCTGATTGCTCCCTTTCTGCACCATCTGGACGGCATGTTAACGGCATTGTTCCAAGGTTCCAATGGGCCAGTGTTTGTGGACTTTGCCATCAAGTTAACCATGGATTTTGGTATTTTAAGAATCATATACAAGTTTTATCGACCACACCAAACGAAAGGCAATACAATAATGGAAGAGAAAATTCTGAATGATTTGCATTCTTCAGCCTCTTTCAAAAGATGAATATTTTTTTTTAATTCAGTTGTAGTGTAGCCATGATAGAATGATTATTAAATGTTATAAAAATTTATATGAAAAGTTCAGTGGAACATATGTTATGTTTGGGATTACACTTTCTTAGTAAAGTACAGATTCTAGTACTTTGAGTCCACACCCTGGTGGGTTCGAATCCCAGATGGGACTGACCCCATCAAAAGTACTAGAATATGTACTTTACTAAGAAAGTGTAATCCCAAATATAACATATGTTACATATGTTTCTAAATGGCATTGTGTAATCATAGAAAAGTTCAGTATTCTGCTTATACATTGGGACCTGAATTGTACTGACTGTTGGAGTAAATTGTACCTTGTAGTGCCTCACAGTAGTTTGGGTTGCAGCTGAGAATCAATATTGAGTGCTCACCAATCTCCTGACCCAGGATAACCATGTTAACAATTTGAGCATGCACCTTGCATAAGGAAGCTTGTACACACATTTGTATCATTTGGCAAGCTTGGGCTAGCAGTACTGCTGGGATTCTAGGTTTGAATGGGTTCCCAGCAACCTATGCTCATCTTGTAGAGGTGATTCAGTTGATTGGGTGGGCAAGCACAGTGACTTTGTTGAACATGTTGAAACTGTGTGGTACAGGATTGAAAAATAATGAAAGTCTGTTAGTTTGAAATTAGTAAAATCTAGCTAGCAACAGATGTTATGATGAAGGTGGAATATTCCTGAATGCTTTTTAAAGAAATACGTTTAAGCTACAGGGTTAGGGCTAATTTCTAATCAAGTGCAGTGGGGAAATCACCCTAGAATTTTGTTGTTCCAGTTCAGTTTAAGTTCAGTATTGAATTAGAAAGGCATCAGAAGATCAGAGCTCCAGATAAGATTTAGCTCATGTGGGTACTGTACCCACTGTATTTTTTTGGATTGGGTATTATGAATGTCGAGTGGGTATTTCATTTTCTGTTACCCACAGCTTTCAAATATGTGCGTATTTCAGTCATTTTACTCACTTAAGTATTATGTCATTGAGTAAGTTTACTAAGCAGGTATGTTCTGCCTTATGTCATATCTAATCAAAACCAACATAAATATAATGGAAATGATTTCATAAAAAAATCACTCATCCTATACTGACAGTACAACACTAGTCCTATACCATCAGTACAACTTGATAGCAATCGATGTCTTTTTCATTACGCAAGCGATTTTTATAAATATATTCTGTACGCATTTATTTTAAACTTTTTGCGTATGTAACATTTTCAATGCGTAATTGGTATGCAACACTTATTTTTCAATGCGTAATTGGAAATTTTCCATGCGTATTTTACCCGGATACGCAGCTTATCTGGGCCTCTGGAAGATGTATCATATGACGATCACAAGTTTGTACAGTACTTTCCCATATTCATGTATATACATTTTATCACATATTAAGGATATGTATCTTCCTAAACACGGAAGTTTGATAACCTCTTTATCATATTTTGACATTGTTAAATTCTCTCTACGACAGCAACCTCAACAGTACAAGTGTTCCTGAATTATGCACAAACGACCTATCCCTAAATGACCACAAATTGTTACAATTTTTATTTTTTGGCTTGATCCAGAGGGAAAACCCATATGATTTGATCGTGAGAATTATTGTCGCATAAAAACATGATATATTCTTCTATCAGAATTACTGACTGACTGAGTTTGGTTTTATGCCGCTTTTAGCAATATACCAGCAACATCACGGCTGGGGACATCAGAAATGGGCTTCACACATTGTACCCCTGTGGGGATTCGAACCCGGGTCTTCGGCGTGACGAGCCAACACTTTAACCACTAGGCTACCCCACCGCCCCTCTATCAGAATTAAAACTGTAGTGTTAGTACATTCATTGGTTTCATCTGTTTGTGACCTTGCATCATGTTAGGGACTACACACTTCATATTGAATGGGTGTCAGATGGTAGGATTATGTCAATTGTCATCTCACAAATGTGCTGAGTCAACAAACAATGCACCAGCTCACCTGTCTGATGGAGTGTGATTAATTCAGTGACCGTATTTGCTTCTACTTCTGTAATTATATCTTGTTCAAACTTGTATGTGTTTCAGGCAATGGTTGCCTGCTACCCTGGTAACGATACGGGTTATGTTCGTCACGTGGACAATCCAAATGGTGATGGCCGCTGTGTGACATGCATCTACTACCTCAATGAAAGCTGGGATGTTCGGGTAAGTCAGAAGACATGACACTAGTTGCCGTGTGCAGCTGGAAAATTGCTGAGTGCGTGTCAGGAGAAAACTGACAAAAACACATGTCACTATTTACATGTACATGGTATTGTTTTCTCAATGATATTCACTGTTTGCATGCACATAAGACTGTTGACATTCACATGGCAGTGTTGACATTCACATGGCACTAGCTGCTGTATGAAACTAGAATATTGCAGAGTTGGGTGTTAACAGCAAAAGACATGGCACTGTTTACACTCTTGTATAACAGTTCACATTCACATGGCACTGTTTACATTCAGAAGGCATTGTTATCCCCCGCAACTCGTTTTGCGGGGGGTATTAAAATGGACTCCGTGCGTGCGTGTGTGCGTGCGTCCGTGCACATTTGTCTTTTCCGGAGGAGAACTCTAAAACCGTTCAATATTTCTTCACCAAACTTGGCACATGCATAGATCTGGTGGTCTACTAGTGCCTTTTGGTAGTTTTGGAATTCTGAATAAAACATTTTTGGCGTTTCCATGGCAACAAGTTTTGACTTAGCCTGAAATTGGTGGTAGTACACTTTTCCGGAGCTGAACTCTAAAACCTTCACTATTTCTTTACCAAACTTGGCACATAGATTGGTCTGGTGGTGAAATGGTGCCTTTTGGTAGTTTTGGAATTCTCAATAAAATATTTTTGGCTTTTCCGTGGCAACAAGTTTGACTTAGCCTGAAATTGGTGGTAGTACACTTTTCCGGAGCTGAACTCTAAAACCATTCACTATTTCTTTACCAAACTTGGCACATAGATTGGTCTGGTGGTGAAATGGTGCCTTTTGGTAGTTTTGGAATTCTCAATAAAATATTTTTGGCATTTCCATGGCAACAAGTTCGACTTAGCATGAAATTGGTGGTTGTTCTCTTTTCCGGAGCTGAACTCTAAAACCGTTCAATATTTCTTCACCAAACTTGGCACATAGATTGGTCTGGTGGTGTACTGGTGCCTTTTGGTAGTTTTGGAATTCTGAATAAAATATTTTTGGCGTTTCCATGGCAACAAGTTTGACTTAGCCTGAAATTGGTGGTAGGGCTCTTTTCCGGAGCAGAACTCTAAAACCGTTCACTATTTCTTCACCAAACTTGGCACATAGATAGATCTGCTGGTGTACTGGTGCCTTTTGGTAGTTTTGGAATTCAGAATAAAATATTTTTGGCTTTTCTGTGGCAACAAGTTTGACTTAGCTTGAAATTGGTGGTAGTGCTCATTTTCGGAGCTGAACTCTAAAACCGTTCACTTTTTCTTCACCAAACTTGACACATAGATTGGTCTGGTGGTCTTTTTGGTAGTTTTGGATTTCTGAATAAAATATTTTTGTCATTTCCATGGCAACAAGTTTGACATAGACTGAAATTGGTGATAGTGCTCCTTTCTGGAGCAAAACTTTAAAAACCTTTCAATACTCTCCTTCCACTTTTCTATATACACACCTAAATATTTGACATAATCATAACTCGTAGACATAATCATGAAGAGTATTTTGTCATTGCGGGGGATATTGATGACTTTGTCTTCTTGTTTTCATTCTTGTGTCACATTCACATGGCACTGTTTTCATTCTTGTGTCACAGTTCACATTCACATGGCACTGTTTTCATTCTTGTGTCACAGTTCACATTCACATGGCACTGTTTGCATTCTTGTGTCACAGTTCACATTCTTGTGGCACAGTTCACATTCACATGGCACTGTTCACATTCTTGTGTCACAGTTCACATGCACTTGGCACTGTCTGCATTCTTCTGTCACAGTTCACATTCTTGTGTCACAGATCACATTCACATGGCACTGTTTACATTCTTGTGTCACAGTTCACATTCACATGGTACTGTTTGCATTCTTGTGTCACTGTTCACATTCTTGTGGCACAGTTCACATTCACATGACACTGTTTGCATTCTTGTGTCACTGTTCACAGTCTTGTGTCACAGATCACATTCGCATGGCACTGTTTACATTCTTGTGTCACAGATCACATTCACATGGCACTGTTTACATTCTTGTGTCACAGATCACATTCACATGGCACTGTTTACATTCTTGTGTCACAGATCACATTCACATGGCACTGTTTACATTTTTGTGTCAGAGATCACATTCACATGGCACTGTTTACATTCTTGTGTCACAGTTCACATTCTCATGGCACTGTTTACCTTCACAAACCTTATTTTGGTTGGCAAGTTAAGGTAGCTTATACCATCAGATGATTTTCTAGGTTGATCTGTCCTTCAACATTGTACATCACAAAAGGAATGTCCTTTATGAGTTGGTCCTATCTTAAATCACACACATTAGGCTTTATAGTATTAAACTGAAGACCACCGTATTCTTTCATTCTTTCATCACAGTTTAAATATTGTAATATGGAGGAATCAGGTTAATAATTTGTTTTGAGTTTTATGTGTCTATGATTTAGGAAAGATAAGTTATATGCACAAAGGTTTCTAGAAGATTCTCATTTACCAATACAGGGCTTTTCATGACGTTGAAATGTGCATCCAGTATTAAAAAATGTATAGAATGGGCACAGAAAAATTACACATTGCTTCCCAAGGGACACAACTGAAATAAATTCTGGAGAACCAATAGAGACAAGGATTAAGATAGAGAACTTTGATAATGGACCATTTTCAGGATTATTAGCCATTTTCTGAATTTAGAATGGGCCACTGCCCTCGTATCAATAGTAAACTTCAAAAGTTTATTGGGCCATTTTTTATTCTAATGTGCAAAATGGCCCATGGCCCCTGCCTTTCCCAATCCCTGTATAGATTTCCTGTTATAAACTTAATGATTACAACTTGATTGCTTTATAAGACTCTTGACATTAGTAATAAGGGGTCCAGAAGGCAAGGTAAAACGCTGCCAATATCAACTCGGTTTGCTGTGGGGTAGACGTGGTATAAAGACAGATGTCATAAAACTTTCTAGTGTTGGACATGGAGCTTAGCTTGAAAGTTCGGCTGTTGAATGAACATTGATGAAGTCAAGGCCAACTTGCTGTGATGTGTTTCTCATGTAACTGGGCCAGCTGCTAACAAGTCCACCATTCATGGTGGGCAGGAGGGTCTCACCAGAGATATTATTAGATAGGGTGTTGTGCTTGATGCTCACTTTTGAGACAAGAAAAAACCTAGTTTGACAGAAATAGTATGGTCCAAGTTGCAGCACTATACAGCCAGTGTAAACAAGTCATGCCTCATATCTGACGAAAGTAGGCCGAAAACAGATTCCTCTTGAAACTGTTAGGAGATGGTGGCCAGGGGTACAGACATAACCATCTGTTCATGGTTCACTTTGATTCTATCCAGTGTAGTCACTGGGCACATTTTTCTAGTAGTTTTCTAACCTCTTGATACCTAATTTGTGTAATCCTATTTATCAAAGAATGTAGGAGGAGTTCTTAAAGTGTCTGAATCACAGACTCGCAGTTATGTGAAAGGCACTTGTTAATAGACCTGAATCTGTGTATAAATTTGTATTACCTTATGGACTGGTCATTTATCAAATCCGATGGAAATGTTGAAATTGAAGGATATGTTGTGAAAATATTTTATAGGGAAAGAGGTAAGGTCACATAAATATATAACAACTAGTTGATGGCTGGAGTGACAAGATGACAGTTCTATTTTAGGACTGAAAACTAGAAAAACCATATGCAGTCACAGAGGTCATACCTAAAGAATCTGAAGAGTCTTTTTTATCATTCGTGGAAATTCTCCAGCCAGCTTAAATGTATGTGCAATGGTATTGTTTGCTGGTTTTGATACATCTTAGTATAATTGTCGATAGTGCATGCCCAAGAGCTTCCCCAATATCTATAACACATGTTTTTTCCAAAAGGGGTCATGTGACTATCTCCTTATGTATTTCTATTAGAAATTACTATGGGACTTACAGATGTGATACTCATTATGCACCAAGTTTTGACATATTACCATGTGTCATTCAGTGAACAGATTGCATCAGTTATTGGATTGTAATAAATCCAAATGACACAGGAAACAGTGTTATCATAACCCTTCAGTTTTTAGGAGTCCCCAGATTCAAATACTATTGTCAACATGCCTGACGTACTCAGTGACTTCCAGGACCCTCTTAACACTCACTGATTCAGTTTCATAACTTCTTGACCTAGTCTAGAAATGGATCCAGGCTGTGTTGCGTATTTCCTCCTTAATCATGTTTAATACTAAATTTATGATTCTGTTAATTATGGTGATATCTCTCTTTTGCACATTGCCATCAAGCTGTGGATTCAGCTGGTTGGAAATTAAGGGATTGAACAACTAGATCAAGTATTTCAAGAATGTAAATGATATGCACAATCATTTTGTAGATATCTATGTACAATAACCATCATTACCCCCCATCCCCACCCCCACTGAATCTGCATACTACCACAATCTAGATCAGCATGTGGGCAGTACTTGCAATGTTAAGATAAACATTCAGCAAGTTGATTTGCAATACTAATATCTACTGAAAAAAACCCACAAAAACATTTCCAAATGTTGATTCAAACGCTGGAATTGGCCATTTCTGTATTTACATCAAAATCTTTTTTTGTCCTAAACCATGTCTCCAGGATCATTTCTGGAAGTTCTTACACATGTACAAAGGGACTCTACACTATTACCACGGTACTAGCCATGGTTTGTTAGTATGGACTAATGTATCTATTGTTAATGTATACTCATGTAATCTTCATTTGAGATCAATGACAGTTGCTGTACATAGTGTAAAGTTTTTTCAACTTCAGTCTTGGTGGTTTCATGTTCAGAACCTAGTCGTCCAGATGTACCTTGATGCAGGTCATCAGCAAACGATTTCATCATTTCAACATGTTCAAGTCAATTGATTTGCACTAGAAAGTGCTTTCTGCTTACAAAGCTGTGTATGTAATTTGAGGATTGTGTTCTATGTGGAAATCAGTTGATCTGGTGATAATA